TTGCAATAGAACGTGGGGTTATCAGATTACCCACAAAAACGCAAAAATTAAAATATGTAGCCAAAAGGAAGGAAAAAGAAATCAAATAAACACGATTAAAAAATACATCCCCTTAAAAAATACATCAAAAGAATGGAAAAGATATATCTTTGAATACGAAGTAAATTGAGACATTTCCAATTAAAACATAAAAAGAAACTATTTCTCCAAACTATGTGCAGATAATACAGCTTTTTTAAAGGAAAGACGTCCTCTACTACTAAATTTCCAAGATCGTATCCCTCGGTTGTGTCGAACACCCGAGCGAAGTCCAGGATCAACAGGTGCATGGAAAAACATAAAATGCTTTCGACCAACATCTTTAGAAAAATTTTCTTCTGAATGAAGATCTACTATGGAGGAAGCAGTAGTCAGAGGTGAGGCAGTCGACGTATAAGAAAGTGGCCACTCCATCGGCGAGGAATGCGATGGAGTCTCTCGATTAGGCATAGCTTGGTCAGCAGACATCTTCTCGCTTTTGAGATCCCCTCCAATATCCGAAGGATGCGTAGACTGCATCTTTTCCCTATCTTTTATAGAAGAAAAAAAATTGGTGGCCATGGTGGGGGAAGTAGGGGGGGTGGAGGAAGTGGATTTCCCAAAATCTGAAGTAAGCGCATGTAAGAACCGGAATTTGGAATCTGTGCGATTATCAAATTCTCGAAGTTCATCTTCCACATCAAATACCTAAGGGGAAATTTTACACATTGAAATAGAGTTAAACAGAGGGTGGGATCAGCACATGGGATTAACAGAGAGAAAAAAATCGAAAATTATCATCAAAAATAAAAAATAATAGAGTAAAGAGCGTACGAGAGGGAGAAAAAACAACAAATGGCAATAAAAAAAACAACCAACGTGTCTTTAATCGTTCACTCCTTAATTTCTTTAACATCTTTAGCTTTTGTTTGCAAAGCAATTTTTACAAAACTAGCCATGCTCTTTCCACTTAACATTCCATGTATAAAACCTGAATTATTTTCATTCTTACAAAATAAACGTGACATTAGGCCACTACATACAAAAGGAAACACGTAGAGTCATCATAAATGTTTGACGTACTTTGTCAAGAACATATTCTTTTAAAGACCTCTCACTTCGTACAACACTCATGTGAACGGTAGCAATACGTTTCTCCAAATCTCGTAGTTGATCCTGACGCAAAAATACCAAAAAAGCATTCATTACATTTCTCTTACATAGTTTCTTGGAAGTTGATAAATACAAAAGAAAAACTAGAATTTGGTAGTAGAACAAACTTCCAAACTCATCAACAAAGCTGGTACAGCGTGTCTTACCTGTATATCGAATGTTTTTTGTAAAACATACTCTTTCAATTCCATTTCTATTGATGAGGTAGTTTTTTCTTTCTCTTGAAAACCCTCCTGGTCTGAAAAAGCTTTATTGAATGCATGAAATTCATCGAGAGAATTTTTTAGCTGTTGATTAAGGGAATCATCCATAACATCGGAGTCGTTGTTGTCTACTGTCTGCGCAGTCACATCGATATATCCTTCTTTTGAAGAACAGTTATACCCAACACCGGCAACATCAGAGTCATTCTCTGTCACAAAGTATAAAGCATAAAAATTATCTGAGAGGATGGCACCATTTACAACATTCTCTATTCGTTCTCTTCACGAAAACAAAACAAAATGCAAGGCTTTGCCCACCTGTAAGCGACGAGTCATCCACTGCACCTTTGTCGCTATAAAATGCATTGGAGGAGAAGCGAAATATTTCATTCTTACCGGGGACTCCAGAGCAATACAGCGGAACTTTGCATTCTCTTAAGGAACCAGAAGCACCAAGGGTGAAAGCCAATGGTGAATCCAGCAGTGAAGACCATGCGTACACGGGAGAATCCCCGGTAACAGCAAAATTTGAAAGGGTAGCAAAAGGGGCTGCAGAATATTTTTTGCTAAGTGATGAATGCAAACATGTATTAATTCCAATCTTCCTTTCCGCAGTAGCATACGTAGAAGCAGATGAGTGAGAATGAAAAGATTTCAAGGCAGTAGAAGGTACAGGATTACTTGAAGACCTTAAAGAAACCGAAGTAGCACATACCCCTTTCAGAAAGGGATAATTCAATGACCGCACAGAAAAGCAACTTGACAATTTCGACGTTGGCATCCTTGAGAAACTTGGTATCGACGAACAAGAAGAGAAAAGAACAGCAGCCTTCCAAGATGCCATCTTCACAAAATAAAAATGTGCTGCACTGCAAGAATCACCGCTCCAGAGTGAAGGCAACAAGAAGATAATTTTTTACTTAAAAGTTCTGCTTTGTTTAAAATGACAAATCTTCATGTACAGTCTGCAGAATTATGGTGCAACACTCAAAAATTATACAACAACTAAGCCACAGCAAAACTTACTTGCTCGTTGAAAAAGTGATTCTTCACAAATAATGAAATTTCTACAACTATCATTCAACATCTTCCTGGGGTGCCGCCTCACTTAAAACAAAGAACAGGCCATTTTACTTGGTGCATTGACGAGGTTGACAACCCTCAATTCACTTGAGATTAAAACGAGTTAAAAATAAAAAACGAGCATATGAAAGAATGCCATTCAGACAGCTAAATAGCAAGTTGCAACAGGATGGCGTTATTCTAATTGTTATTTGGCGTTATTCTAATTGTTATATAAACAAATTGTTTGAGGGAGGAGCACCAAATAGTTACATTTTTTTTGAGGGGTTGGATTGGGTTGGGTTCACTTGTATTTTATTTTCATAAAGCACAAAAACTCACGCTTTTCTTGCTACGTTTGACTCATTTGCTACATACAATACAAAATTCTGTTCAATAAGAGAAACTCGATAATTTTATTTTAAGAATCATAGTTTTGGGTAAAAAAAACATTTCATGACACAATTTACATCGCAACGTGTGGGGCCAAATAAGAGCATTACTTGCAAATTAGTCAAATTTTAAATAATTTTATGAATTTGTTCCTGTGATATTATCTACAAAAAAAGTGCGTTAATTTCAGAATGCACGAAAGTTTAAATGTTCATGCGAAAAGCTTCAAAGTAAAAGAAGGAAGCATGTTTTATTTGCTTTCCTATTAAATTTCATAGAAATGCTGCTGAGTATTATACTTTTTCTTTTGTGACTAACTGCTCTTCCTTTAAAAGTAATACATTTATCAAATTGCACTTTTTAGCGGATCCTTTTGTCGAGCTTATATAAACTCAAGCCTCAATAAGTAGTCGCATAAATCGATTACGTAGAATTTTCTGCCGAGTAAAGGATAGGTTGAGACGTTATAACTCCCTTGTAAACTGCAACGCAATATTATCAATGCAAGGGGAGCGATTGCCCTTCCATGTGTAAACTCAGACCTTACATTCATAAAACAAATACTCCCAGCAAGCAAATACTCCCAGCAAGCAAATACTCCCAGCAAGCAAATACTCACATCAAGCAAATACTCACATCAAGCAAATACTCACATCAAGCAAATACAAAAACATAAAACGTTATGCATCTGCCGGGAATCGAACCCGGGTCACTTCGATGGCAACGAAGTATTCTACCACTAGACCACAGATGCTTGAGAAATTACGAAAGTATTTATTCCAATACCTACTAGGTCATCTCAACCTTAAAAAGCATTATTTGATGGCATCATGAAAAATGGACTATTGTAGTGGTTAAATATCAGGAGTCTTCAACAAGCTTTAGTTTGCTGTAGGAAAAGAAGAGATGGATGGAATTAATTCTCTTCCGTACAGTACGCATTGAGCTTGTACGAGAGTCATCAAGATGCATTGAGGCGATACTTGCAGTAGCCCCACTTAATCTGATGAAGCATCATCTACAACCGCACAAAATTACAAGGCAAAAATATTTCTTTCCACATATATATATATACTCCGGGACCGGGAATTGAACCCGGGTCTTCTGCGTGACAGGCAGAAATACTGACCACTATACTATCCCGGACTTGATTATAGAGAACGAGTAGAAATTCGATTTCAGTTTTATTTAAGTAAATAAATGATCATTGGTGTATGCTATGCGGGCATTCTCAATGAAGCCTCGAAAAAATTCACGTTCACCGTGCAACAGGATAAAAAAATTTATCGGAGGTAAAATTCCGAATGATAATTGAAAGATGTAATCGTTTCTCCATCTCTGAATTACTGGTATCACAATAGCTAGTAATGTTAGTTTGCTATTTGCAAACGCTTTCAAAATATTGAAGCCGCTAACTGTTCATTGCATCACAGAGAATATGAAATGCTCTGCAAACATACTTCATTTACCCGTTATAGATATTACTCTATAAACTAAAAGCTATTCAATCAAACAATATTAGTGAAAGAATCTGCTACAAAAACATCGTTAGAAAGTTGATATTTTGGCGTTCAACTTTTCATTCATACTGTTTTGGAGAAGTTGAAAGTTAATCAGTTTCCTACTTCGAAAGATTCTGTAACGTATTTGATCAGCGTACATTCATTTGCTCTAAAAATAGTATGTCAATCAATACATTACGTTTGCTTTGATTGTTTGTATGCTTTCAAAGAAATGCATGTACTTTTGCTAGGTTGTTGAATCGTATTAATGAATAAACTTTTAGGAATCGCATTGGTTTTGTGATACAACTCTTTTTTTTCTTAATAATGGAGTGGTAATTTTCTCCGTAATCTAATTTTCCCTCCTTCTTATTGCCCAATATGAGATCGAGAAACCAAATTTGCGAAACTCAGTAATAGAAAAGTATTTATTCATTTACAAAAAAAGCGGTTGCAACTCTAATTTATGAACCGATAATCTTAATCCTGCTTTCAGTGTAGAGCACTTTTAATTCTAAATGGGATAAGTGCTAACCTATGTATTCCGAATTGAAATTAATCACATCAAATTTATCTTAACTTTTTTGAAAGTGGACGATATTACCATGGATACAGTACACAGAAAATCACTTGATGCAATATTCCAAAACTCCGGGACCGGGAATTGAACCCGGGTCTTCTGCGTGACAGGCAGAAATACTGACCACTATACTATCCCGGACTGTTGGAATGTATTGGCGAATATTCTTTTAGTGTAAATACAGGAAATTAATCTGCAAGAGAATGCCTCGGCAAAAGCAGCCTGCACTTTTTCCAGCTGTTACAGAAAACTTCAGCTGTTCGATGAGAGTGCTATTGACTGACATGTCGCCTAAAGTACAACGGTGAGTCTGATGTAGAATAAATACGTAGTCAGCCAACCATTCCTCTTGCAAAGAGTAAATAAGAAAGAACCGTGGTAGCTCAGTTAACTTTCCATTCAAACCGTTCTTTGCATGAGGGAAGTTCCTTATTATGTGACGAAATGCATTCTTGAATACTTGAAGCTACAATGGCATCAAATTTTGAAAAATTTGATCATTTGCTGGGTGCGTTTGCGAAGGAGCATGGTACAATCGAGTCACTATTGGATACTTTCTTTGAATGGCTTCGAGAACGTACAGATTTTTTTCATGTTGCGGAACCTTCGAGTTCAACATCTATAGGATTTCATGAAGGAGAGGCTGATCAAATATTAAAAAATACTTTTTTGAAACATCAAAAGCATTATCGCAGTATAACACTTCCTAATCGTCTCGCCAATCTCCCTCCGTCAACAAAACCTGCTCCCTCAGCTAACAGAAGAGCTTCTACGCGAAAAATTCCACCGTCACATTATCCAGGTAGCGGCGGTGATGGAATTGAACTTGCTATTTCCCCAGTGCCGCTCAGCTTGCGTGGTGATTCTGATGCCGTAAGAATTTTTTGCCTAAATGTATAATTTATAACTAGTAGCGTGTGTTTTTATAAGTTGGGCAGTAAAGCATCCTAGCATATCAGCATTAGCTAATTTTTTGTACGTTCCTGCTACCCTCTCGATTGGCCTTCACACAACACCTTAGATTAGTCGTATTGAAGGAAAGTAGTAACATCATTTCTGTCGGCTGTCTGGTCATTTTCAAACTAGGTACAAACGGAAATACAAAAATTTCTTGGTAAACGCGGAATGTGCTTGTACGCTCGGTGGCCATCTGCTGAAGATTTATCGAAGGTGATCGTCGGAGTCAATAGGTTTGTTTTCTATGTGAGAAGTTGCAAAAAACACAAGATTGGAAATTGCATTTTGTAAATAGAATGCTTATGTTTAGTGTTTGTATTTTTCTATTTTGCGGGTAGTGCAACAGTTGCCGAATGGATAATCAACAAAGCCAAATCAAAAGATCTGATTCCTTTGCTATGGCAAGAGGATCTGCGACAAAATCTGTGTATAGAGATGGCACACACAGAGCAAAAATCAGAGCAGGGAACAAAGATTGATAGGAGCAACGAAGAAACAAATTTTAGAACCTCTCGACGTGAGTAGTTTCCTAGTAGCGCCGCGTCTCAACTTTGGTGTTGCCCTATTCGGGTTACAGTGGATTTTGTCGAGCTCTTTACAGCTGATTTCAATATAATGTATTTTTATAATAAAAATTTAATCAAAATGGAAGAGGGAGCAAATTTTTTTATTTATTTTTTGTCTTTTCGAAATTGTTCCAAATTCTTTTGTGATGACTGTAATATTATTCTTTGTTTACTAGCATCAAAATTTATTTACTTGAAGATAATACAGGCATATATAGTTGGGTTAAAAATTTCAATATCATTTACCTCTTACTATACCTCTTCAGGGAAGTATTGGAAGCACATTCATTTCCTTTTTTGTGATTTTGAATTGTTCTGCAATCTTACATTAAATTCCTTCTCCTTAACTTTGCGTGTTTAATTCAGATGGCAAGCATCACATTTCTCCATATAATGGTGCTATATTGGACAAATATATTTGGAATCAAACTTTTCAGGAAGTTACTGTTGAGCTCCCACTAAACTCAAATTGTAAAAAGCATGACCTGGAGATTGTAATTGATTTTGAATATCTCTTCATTAAATGTAAAGGTATATTCTCAATATTTATTTATTGTTCTAAAATCTAAATCGTAGAATTCATGTTTTTTTCAAGATTATGAGTGGGTTTAGCCGTCTGATTTTGCAGAAAGAAAATTTTGTTGCCAAAACAGTTTTTTCAATTAGATTTTTTTCCTGTAAGATGATTACTCCGTTTTGTTTTCTTATTTTCTTGAATGCATCTTTAATCATTACATGGTTTCTCCTTGAAATGTGTAATTTTACATGCACAATGCATTCGGCAATTTTACTACGGCTTGTTAAATTAGGTAAAATTCTCATTGACGGACAACTCCGTAGACCAATACGTCGTGAAGAGTCTATGTGGACTATTGAGGATGAAAACACATTGATTATTACCTTATATAAAAAAGAAGAATATTGGTGGCAGAGTGTCATCATTAATGACCCTGAAATAGATATAACTAAGGTGTGATATTTATTTTTTACATCATAGTCACTTATTTTAAAAAGAACCGGTTTATCTTTAGTGTTCTTACTTTACAATTTCATTATTTTTAATGCTAGACATATGCTTTGTAGCTGATTTTCGTATTATTGTATAAAGGCAAGTTTCGCATGTTATATATAGTGGCAGCTTTTTTCAATGTGTAAAAATCAGGTTGAATCAGTAAAATCAGTGGAAGATTATGACGATGAAATGCAAGCCCAAATTCGAAAAATCTGGTATAAGCAAGCACAAAACTCAATTCCTAAGTCTGAGAACGCTGATCAACAAGACTTATTAGAAAAAGCTTGGAATGCGGAGGGATCTCCATTTCAAGGGCAGCCGTTTGACCCATCACTGCTTCGTTTTAATTAATCTACGATGTCAGGCGAGTAGTTTTATTGTATCTTCTTGTTAAGTATTACAGTTTTATGTTTTTTTCATTACTTATCTATCGCTTCTGTCACAGTCTTCTGAAAGGATACTGCTTAATTTGCTCATCTCATTGTGCCTAAAGGCTGTTTCAATATTTAAAACAAGTTTTTGCGTTGTAAATTTTATTACATACTTTGTGCGAAGAATTGAATAGAAATCAAACATTATAATTAAATTCCATTTTAATGTTGTTCTCAACCGCAAAACTGATTTCTTCATGGGTTTTTATAATCACCTCCATGCTCAAACTTTTACACTAGCTGGACCGTCATATTATTTGAATACTTATGCTTTGCATTCAACATTATGCCGGGATTCGTCAATACAAGATTTTGTTATAAGAAAATTGAATTCACCTGCTTGGTAAGAATAATTTTAAAATGGCGAGAATATATTCAAATTTGCTGTTTTTTATCTGAAATCAATCTTAAAGAGTCATCACCTCAGCCTTTAATTTTTCTTGATTCGTTCAAATGTCACCACTATCGAATTGGAAAGTGTGAAGCCAATTGAATCTTCTTCTAAATTTGTTTGAAATTTTGTTTATTTTTCAAATTGTTAGCTGTTTCTATATTTAAATTTTAGCTAGATGTGTTAAACTTGTGGCAGTCCAATCATCCAAGCTACGGTTTTTATGACTGAAAGAAACTAATGACACTTTGAAAATTATATCCAAAATACACGTTATGCGATAGCATGGCTTTCTAGTCTTAAAGAAGTTACGAATTCAAACGCAATTCTTGAAATAATTGGTAACCTTTTGTTTCCATTGTGTTCTTAAAATTTGAGACCCAATCAAAAAATGATTTCCAAGCAGAATAAACGGAGAATAATTCCTTCTGCAAAATTTTACCTGAGCAAAAGCAACAACTACTTTTGAACTCTGTTGAAAAATGCACAAACTGTAACTATTAATTGCGCCAACTTTACCATCTTGTATTAATCTGAAAAACTTAATGTTTATTCCTTAATATAATTGCAAAGATAGCGTTTGTAAGTGTATTTCTTCAATACTTAGAGAGAATGTTAATGCATCTTACACATATACCTTAAATTTTCCAACCAAAACTTAACGTCTTCTTCCGTTCGGAAAGTTTAAGGAAAAGCAAGTTAAAGTTGTCTTTAAATATAACCTAACGCAATCGTACTACAAAATATCAACACTACATGGCTTTCATTGTTTGCTTCGGTTACAAACCTTTTGTTTCCTGGGCCAATTTTTGAGAAGACAACTTCTGTCGGAGAACTGCAAAGCTATTTAATGTTCCACCAGATCTGCATAGTTCTGCACAACGACATAAGTTCACAGTGCTTTTAACTTATGCAGTATGCACCAAATTTAGGTAAATCCTAATCTTTTTAATGATGCTATATTTCCACTGTTTTAGTGAATTATTTTCATTTAATGAATAGTCGTTCGCATCTCGCCGCTGAATTCTTTCCAATGAGTATGCATATCATTCCCTTTAAGATAAGAAGTGTATAACCTTCAAACTTTATAGGGAAAGAGTTATACGGTTAGTGTTTATTCGAATAGTGGAAAAAAACAAAGCTTGCAGTGGCACATACTCAGTTTTCACAGATTGAAGAAAGTAATCTTGTTCGATGTGAGCGCATGCAAAATATATTCATGAAGTATTGCAAAGAAAAAATTAGCTATACATTCTATTGCCAACAATATATGTTTCTCACCTTTAAGTTCTAAGACAGGGGAAACGTTTTGCATGATAAGCTGTTTTACTTCCCTGTAAGAAATGTTTGGAAACAACGAAAAGAGCATCCCTGCTGTACCGCTAACATAAGGTGCGGAGAACGAGGTTCCTGATTTCATCCCGTAGCGGTTACCTATAGGAAAGTGGACGAAAGATGAAATAATGTAAAACTTATTATTATAAATACATTTACTGTAATTTAGAAGCTTGTACAGATTAAATCGATCGCTGGATATATTCGGATGCAAGGAATGAAATTTGCTTGTTAATGGTGTAGCAAATACCCGTTATTGTTGATAGCAAAGATATTCCAGGCGCAAAAAGATCAACGGAATACTTGCCGTAATTAGAAAAATGCGCTCGAGAACCGTTGAATACGGAACTTCCAACTGCTATAACGTTGTCATTGTTAAACGCGGCAGGATAAAAGGAATCTCTGATAAAAAAGTTTCATAACGCTTTGTTGTGTTAATGAGCAATATA